TTTTTACGCGTTAAACTGAAAAGAATTAATCGCCTGCGTTAACGCGCTAATTTTGACACCACTAATATATATATATATATATATATATGTATGTATATTATTGAATAATATATTTTTAAGAAATCTGCTCCTTTTTAGAGTTTATATCTCTAAGATCGATGGATAGATAGATAGTATTAATTATTTCATTTTTTTTTTATCTACTAAACACTGTCAAATAATGTCAAAAAAAATTCCATTTTATGATAGCCAGCATTTAAATGTTTCAACAATGTTTTGGAGAAGAAACATAATTAATAATGATTATATCATAAGAAAACTGAGACTTTTCAAATTCATGTACATAACACTTAAAAGTGTGTTTCTAGGTCAAAAGCAACTTATTTGTGCTCTCACATTTTTTCATTTTTAGCCACATACTAGATTGGAAGTCTACAGTTTTCACTTCTCTCTCCACAACGACAAACATGCAACATGATACGTCAGATACTTCTTTCACTGTTTTCTGTTGTTCTGTGTCTTCTAGAGAGCCTGCATTGATTTTGCAATAAATGCCAAACCTCTAACGCGCCACATGCCTCAGAACAAGCAAAGCTTTCAGTACCGAATGTGGCAGTTTGTGGTGTCACCTCCATTTGAGTACAGTATCATGGCTCTCATTGCGCTCAACACCATCGTCCTTATGATGAAGGTACAAGCTTCTTCCTCCCTCAGCATCAGTAATGTCCTTGTGCATCCGTCAGGGTCTGAATTTTCTTTGTGCATTTCCAGTACCATGGGGCCCCTCCGACGTATGATGCAGTCCTGAAGAACCTGAATATAGTGTTCACCACACTGTTCTTCATGGAGTGTGTTCTGAAAATCATTGCATTTGGTGTCCGAGTAAGTCTCTCTAATCGCATCCTAAAGATATCACCTATTATTAATTCATTCATCCTGTTACTTATTTAGACCTGAGATTTTTTTAAACGTTTTCTTCTTTTAACCCATTTAGAAAAATGGGTTTAGAAAAAACTGCTTTCTATTGCACTTGTCTGCCTGTCTCCATGGTGACAGCCATTTGATTGGCTAAACTATTTTTTATAGTCTTGCCAGTGCAGGATAGGGTGATGCAGGTCCTCACTACCTGAGAACTCTGAGATGATTGGTTAACACACACTCTCCTTTTGTTTCTCTGCAGAATTATTTCCGAGACGCTTGGAATATTTTTGATTTTGTTTCCGTTATCGGCAGCATCACTGACATTTTAGTGACAGAGCTTTGGGTAAGTGCACTTTTATACAAGTTTAGAAAGCAAATACAGATTGCATCTTGATTCATGTTGGAACTGATTAGCTAGATGTGAATATATCCACTTATAAATAAATATGCATTATAATCCTGGAAATGCATCTCTTGCAATCACTTCCCTTTTTTTAGGGACAGTAAATAGTTTCGTTCTCACACACATAAATCCTACTGAATCTATAGCATGTGTTTTGAATATCATCCTATTGCAGAATTTTCATATTATGTTTAATAAGGAAGGTTTAATTGCAACAATTCCAAACTTGTGGTAAAAATGTGGTAAAAATGACTTGGAAGCAAAATGTTAAAACTTTTGTCTGTTTGAATATTTACCCATTCAATCCTCCACATCGTGTGTTCATTCTATTGCTAAGTGTTGTGTGTATTTGTACTGATTTTTGTTTGTAAATGTCAGTGTTTGAGTGTGTATTTGTGCTGGTGTTGTCTCCTGTCTGTGCCTTTAGGGTGCTCTGTCTGTAAAAATGAGACAGAGACACTTTACTCTGATGTGTTACACTGAAGTTTTTGGGCTTTCCCAGTGGTCACACATTACATTATGTGGATTTTTATACCATATAACTTTCCATATAAACCATATAATCAGTGGTAATTTAATGTTATTTATATATTATCATAATATTTATCAATATTTTGAATTAACTTATACTTCATTTTCACTTTACGTGTTTGTCATTTTATATTTCTACACTCTATAGCATTTATGTATGTTAACTTTTTTAAATAATTGAGTTCCACACTAACATTTTATATAAATATCACATATCATATATATATTTTTTTTTTATAAAATAGCTTTAGTTTTGTTTTTGTTTTGTTTCATTAACATTGCCCCTAAAGGTAGTTAACACTGTATTTGTAACAATTTTAAAAAATGCTCCGCAGGACATAAGTAAAATTCAGTTTGGCCACTGGAACAGCCTGCATAGTGAATCAATACCCACCGTATCTGTGTTTGATTAATCAGCCTGTTGACTGTATCCATAACGACTTATTCCTGTTTTATCTTTTTACATGCTTTCTTTGTTCCTCTGATTTGTTGGCGATAAACCCATCCAATCCAAAACAAACAAAAAATGCACTATGAAACTCTCATATCTTCCATCTCATGTGTACCTATCCAATCCCCTCACACACTCACTATACATGTATGCATCCATCTACTGCAACAACACATAGAATCCGGTTGGTTTGTAATTTTCTCTCGGCTTCTAATGCATCCATTACCCAAAATGCCTCGCTCTTTCCTCCTCACTTTCCTCAAAGCATGTGCTTCCAGTATGATGACCCATGACCCCAAAGATGCTTGACAATTTGACAACTGCTCATGTTAATGCTCATATATTCTAAAAGCAATTAAAAACACTAGGACTAGGTGGTATAATGGTAAAAATGTGTCATTTAATTCTTAAAAAATTTTTTGACCATTTTTCACCAAATTCCCAGAAACACAACTGCATTGTATATACAGGTGCATCTCAATAAATTAGAATGTCGTGGAAAAGTTAATTTATTTCAGTAATTTAACTCAAATTGTGAAACTCGTGTATTAAATAAATTCAATGCACACTTTATTGAGATGCACCTGTATATTGTTACAATGATCTAAAATGATTCATGTAAGCATTTGGTCATACCACCCACCCTAATACAAACACATATATGTATACAAGTACAAGGGCCAATAATGTATGTAATACATTAAAGTAACTTCACCGACATTAACATAGAGTTTTGTAAAGTAGATTTACCTGAATGTAATCACAAGAGGTTCAGATAAAGTTCAATAGCTGACTCTTGCTCTTATTGACCTGTAGTTCTAATCTACCTTGTACTATTTTTGTTTTTGCTCATAAAAATGCTTTTACACTTGCACAGGTAGTCACAGATGTTGTCATGCCATTGCTGAATGCCATGCACTTTAGCAAAAGCTGCATGATGACTCTTTTTCTTTCATTACCTTATCTTTTCTCGATTCATCTGCCTGTTCTGCACTACTGTAGTTCCTCCTCTGTATGGAAGAGGGCGCTACAGCTCACTCATTGAAATATGTGTATGCTGGAATGGGGGAGTGATCCTCAATAACCTGTCCACACATAAAGATTTATTATTTATTTTACCAGGTTTTGCTGAGTGATTATGTCAAATGTGCTTAAAATACCACATTGAAATTTTGTGTTTTGGGCTAAGCACTTCTAAAATGCCCCCAAAAAAGAAAAGACAGTTGGCATGAACTTTGTGTGGATTGGACCATTGAGAATTACATAAAAACACAGCCAATCCCCACTGGCTAATGTTGTCGGTATTCTCCTCCATATGCCTGTATTTGCTAAACATTACAGTGCATCAGGCTGCTTCCATTCTGTGCCTTGCCTGTCTCAACAGATCAGTGCATTTGATTAAAAAAGGTTTATGCTTTAATATATGATTGGATGTTGACTGTTACAATATATTGATTGTTTTTCTTGAGCCCCTCCTGAATTAATTTGGTCCTTTTTGCCATTTTTTATTTTTTTTATTTTTTAGTTTCAATCCCATTTCAAGTTTATTTTGTACATTGTGTATTTATATACATTTATTAAAAAAAATGTTTTTATACTTTTATGTATTACTTTAACCCACTTTCTCTCTAAATTATTATTTAATTTAAAAAATATATTTATCATCAAGTAAACTGATTGTGATTTTTCTCTACTATATCTTCTCTTTTTCTTACACTTGCTCTCTCTTTCACATGCTGTCTCTCTTGCACTCTTTTCTTCCTTTTCTTCTGGAACATTCTCCTCTGTCTCCGTTTCTACGTACGTCTCAACCTAATCTCCCTAGGATAACTTCATAAACCTGAGTTTTCTGAGACTGTTTCGAGCAGCACGTCTCATTAAGCTCTTGAGGCAGGGCGAGACCATTCGCATTCTACTTTGGACTTTCGTTCAATCATTTAAGGTGCTTAAAGTCTTACCTAAATGCCTACAGTCACACACCTACACCGATTCACATGCCAAATCCAAGTCCAACGTGACTAAGGGACAAAACTTAAGATATTTGCAAACAATTTTTTTGCAATTAAATCTTCACACGGTTTCTGGTGAAAAATTTCAGGCACTCTGAAGTCCTGCCTTTTAGTTAAAAATAAGCATTTTTTTTTACTTGAGAACTTCTTTGCATATGTCCCTACATGTAATGAAAATGTATAGCCAGCTGTCCTGCCTAAAAAAGTTAAAGAGTGAATTTTCATGATTCTTTGAAAACAGTTTGGATACCAGAATTAGTTGTTTGCTATCTGAACATATTTACAAATTGAGCTTATTTGAAGATTAAAAAAATACATTCTCCAAAAATGGAATGCATAATTTCATGCAGTATTGCAGAGATGTAGAGATGTGTTTTACTGATCTGTAAATTTTATAGAAGCAAAGTGACAATGCACTCAACCTATTTTAAGGTGTGCACATTTGTAAAAAAAAACAAAACAAAACAAAAAACAGAGACTTTACCGACATTTAAAATTCAGTCTAATTTCTTCCTCCTTTCATGCTTTTTCTGTTTACCATTTACAGGCTCTGCCGTATGTGTGCCTGCTCATTGCAATTCTGTTCTTCATCTATGCCATCATTGGCATGCAGGTAACAGCTGTTCTGTTTGAAATGAGCTTTAACATCCCTGTGGGTTTTTGAAAAACTAAATAAAGACAAAATGAACCAAAATATGCATCTATCAACACATTGATAAGTGGCATAAGGTTGCTGAGATTTCACATCTGTGAGTTCAGTGATGTGTTCAGTAGTTTTATATATTCTCTGTGACACTGTAGTTGTTTGGGAACTTGGCGCTGGATAAGGAGGAAGATAGTGCGATCAATGAGCACAATAACTTCAGAACCTTCATTATGGCCCTGATGCTACTCTTCAGGTCAGTCCAGTGTTTAGCTGTTCTGTTTGAAATGAGCTTTAACATCCCTGTGGGTTTTTGAAAAACTAAAAGACAAAATGAACCAAAATATGCATCTATCAACACATTGATAAGTGGCATAAGGTTGCTGAGATTTCACATCTGTGAGTTCAGTGATGTGTTCAGTAGTTTTATATATTCTCTGTGACACTGTAGTTGTTTGGGAACTTGGCGCTGGATAAGGAGGAAGATAGTGCGATCAATGAACACAATAACTTCAGAACCTTCATTATGGCCCTGATGCTACTCTTCAGGTCAGTCCAGTGTTATTTTAGTATATATTTTATTAAAAAATTAAAAATATTTTGAATGAGCTTTTATTTATATTTTTTCATTTTAAATGAAAAATTTTTCATTTCGTTTTGTCATTTGTATTATTTTTTACTTTTCAATTTAGCTTTAATTTTTTTGTTTTTTTTTTGTTTTAGTCGTTTTAGTACTTCAAATTAAACCTTTCTTTAAGGAGCAAAAAATATTTAAAAACAATTTTTCGCAGCAAAACCTTAATTTTTAGCTTAAGTTCCTTTTCAGTTGGTCACTTCGGTGTTGTGTTGAAGTTTCCGACACTAGGGGTCGCACTTGGGAGCGCAGACACCTCTGACATCAAAAAAAGGGCAATGAAATTGGCAAGCAAAATTTGCATAGCTGGCCACATCCGGGTATAAATAGGCCAGCGTAGCATTTGCTCACTTGTTCTGTTTTTTGGAGCCGAATGCTGTGTCTGTGAGAAGCAGCACTCATTCACCTCTCGATCTCGTCGTCATTGGATCTACGGCACAGGCAGCAGAGGCACCCCAGGGTGCTTCAACGGTGATCTTTGAGCGCAAATTCTCTGAAAGAGCTTCACGGGCGGAATTGTGTGTTTACGTCATGCCTTTCCGCCCATGTTCTTCTGGTTGCGGTTACCATGTCTCCTTATGACCGACTCGATCTCTGTGTTCAGTGTTTGGGCCGTGCTCATGATGAAGCAGTGCTCGTGGATGGTTTATGTCCCACTTGCAAAGACCTGTCCATAGGCACATTGTGTTTGTGGCTTGGGTTCTTCGTCAAAAGACCTCGAGTCACCCCAGCCGCTTCCTGTTCCGGTCCTTCTACTTCCGGGTATGAGGCCACAGCGATGTGCGCCCAGCCCCAGTTCCTTTCTTCCCAGATGTGCACGAGGAACTGACGAAATCATGGAAGGCCCCCTTCTCAGCCAGGACATGATACTCCGGCTCCTCCATCCTCACCGACGCAAAGTTGAAGTGACCGGCTGAAAGGGAACGTCTCTGTTACATATGGTAACCCTCATCCCCTGATGGAGGGATCGGAGACGTCATGTCCCTTATGCCACAACTCTGCCTGAGTGGGTTGAGACGCTTCTCGACTCCTCAGAACAGAACGAGTGAGCAAATGCTACGCTGACCTATTTATACCCAGATGTCTGGGGTGTGGCCAGCTATGCAAATTTTGATCACCAATTTCATTGGCCTTTTTTCGATGTCAGAGGTGTCTGGGCTCCCAAGAGCGACCCCTAGTGTCAGAAAATTTGACACACAGTCTCTGTTCCCTCCATCAGGGAACAAGGGTTACCACATGTTACCGAGACGTTTTAATAGTTTTGCTATGTGCTTTTGTCTTTTTTATTAGTTTTTTTTTTATATATTTCTATTTAGATTTATTTTTTATTTCAGTTTCAGTTTTAGTAATTTTAGTACTTCAAATTAAACCTTTTTGTTTTATTTTTAAGTAACAAGACCTGAAATATTTACAAAAAAATTGCACCAAACCCCTCAAAATATTTTAGCTGAAGTTCTAGTAATTTTAAGTATTATTATTTAATTTTTTCCATTATTTCTGTATTTCTGTTTAGCTCTTATTTGTTTTAAGTTTATTAATTTTGGTACTTTTAAACGAAACCTTTTTATTTTATTTTAAAGAATAAGACTTAAAATATTTGTGAACAATTTCTTTGCACCAAAACCTTCAAACCTTCATTTTTAGCTTAAGATTTTGTAATTTTGTTATGTGCTTTTTAAAAATTTGATTTCTATTTATCGTTCATTTATTTTTATTTCAGTTTAAATAATTATTTATTTGATTTGATTTGATTTAATAAGTTAGTTGCAAAAGCAACATTTTTAATTTTTAAGATTTTCATCTAATATATATATATATATATATATATATATA